TTTAATTATTTTTCCTAAAATATTTAAGTCATCTGCTAACTGGCCAAGCAGCCTTATAGTCTTTCAAACTCTCATGGCATCTAGTGATCAGGCATTTACCAGTGAACTAGACTGTCTGGTGCACCAGTATATGAATCCTGCCTCCACAAGAGCAGCAAGATGACAAGCTTCCCTTGCCAAGTAGCTGCTGCAGAATGTGACAGTGACAACAGGATTAGAGATGAAGGGGAGATAAAACATCACCTAATTTCCAATCTTTTCAGTGACACTAATCAGAGGGATGAAGCAGACCTGATCAACACCCAGAGAACCAGAAATGCTACAGGTAACAAATACTATTAATAATATTTCAGATGCAGAAATAACAAAGCAAGGTACAAGTGACTAAACAATACCACCTCAAACATACACTGTATAAGGGCAAGTGTGTTACACATACTGAAAGCAGTTTTTTTTTCCCCAAAGATTGTTACTTTATTTTGAAATGTACCATAGAGAAGCCTTTCACTTTAGTATTCACCCAAAAAGATGTTGAACGCAATATTATCCTCATGCCATAAATACAGAAACTGACAAAAAGATGTAAGGAATCTACAGAAAAAGATAAAAGTATATCCTGTCCAGTAGCATACCAAAAGTCTCCTTTGATAATCCTAAAACAAAAACAGAAAAAAATTAACCTCTTGATAGTGTTATACTTTTGAAGCACCTTCACTTTAACAGTGCATTCCACATCTATCAAATTAACTAAACTACAAGATAAGAAACTGTAGCCCTTATGTTACAATAATTTGGAAACTGATCTTCAATGCTTACTAATGGCAAAGTTAATTTTTAATCCTACCTTGCATTCAATTGCCCTAATAAACAGCTATTTCACCATTATTCATCATTATATTTAAGATTTTCTGTGATCTACTCTGGCCATTGTAAGTCTATATTAGAATTGCTTTTCTGTTTCCTTAAACATGGCTTTTGCTTAAAGCAAGCCATAGCAACTGCAAAGAAGTTACCTGCACCCCCTAAGCTCAGAGTGAATTGCTCAAGCATTACTAATTTTGAGGTGGGAGGAGTTGAAGAAATTAGGTCTTTTTATATAAAAAGCTTAAATGACTCATGAAAACTCTTTTGGCATAGCTTATACATGCTTGACAACAACAACATATATAGCACCTTCCATCACTCAAGTGCTGTACAAATGAGTTAAGAGTTCAACAATTGAAACCCAACCCTCGCCTTTATGACCACCAAAATTAACCTCATATTTTCACACAACACGGAGAACCACTTAAGAAAAACACGGGGCATAACATGCTATATCTGAGAGGAGGGGACTGGTCGTTACCAAGTAAACTTTCCTTATCAGCTCTCTAAAGTACCCTACACTTGACATTCAATAAATCAATGCTTAAAAAGCAACAGGTACCTTGCATAACAGCCCAGGAGACCTGCCAATTGGCCAAAATGCCTGTGAGGGAACAGGTCAACAATCATATCCACTTACAGTTTCTGACCTTGGCCGAATTTCCAGGTTGGTCACCAGGAATGGTACACTGTCACAGATTAAAAACCTGAAGATTTTCTTCAGCGCTCAAAGGGAAGAGCCACAGATGATTGAACTGAATCTAACAATCTGCTGAAAAGGTCTGTTAAAGAAGAACCAAGATCAACTGGTGTCTCTCGATCTGAGTATCTGATGCACCCATCAGTAACTGTGCTTGATAATCATCTTCATAGGCCAATCAAATTACAATTGCTTTTTGTTCTCCAGCCCTCTTTTTAGGATATTCCAGAATCCAGCTCCACTAGTGATTCGATAATTATTTTCACCCTACTTTTAGCTACAGTCTGCTTATATGTACTATTTTTGCCATCTACACATCTTCCTTCCTCTCCATCCTGCTTCCAGCTCTCAAACCCCTGCATCTTTCTCTGTCAGATAAACATTCTTGGTCACCTGGTCAGCACAGCTAGAGATTCATACTGTTCTGAGTGCCATGGTCCTGGCCCCTTGACTTAAAAGAATTAATCTAACAGGGAAGCTAAGGCTGGATCACAACCAAAGACTCTGTAACAATACTGCCCTTCCCGAAGCTCAGATGTGGAAGAAAGGAAGTCCAACAGAAGTAAGATCATACATAAGCAATGTGCCACATCACGGCATATCCAAAAAACTGTAAAGTATTACAGGCTGCACAAACAGCCTGATACGTGTCCTGGGACATGCCAAATACCTGGCTCCACTGCTTTTCTCTGCAAGCATTGCAACTTAAAATCAATAAAGAAAACACAGAAACTTTTTCAAAGCACTGCTACCCTTTCATACTGAAGACAAACCACCCACAAAGAATGAGCATCTATCCATCAGATGACACAAGTGGCTTTCCCTAATTAAAGACCAGCTAACATTAGAATTGGCAAGTGAACAGAAGGCTCCATACATTGCAACTGGTTCCACCTACAACCTTTATCTCAGTTCCTCCGCACCCTATACCGACTACCTACCCCACAGTATTCCCTTTGTCTTTTTCTCCCACGCAATTTTCTGCCTGAAACAACTCTCCTCCTCTTATGTGCCAGGTAGAATTCTCTCACTTTCTTTTAATACTTCCTTACACCAATTCCCTCCAGTTTCTCTTGTTCCACTCAGCCCCATTGGGGGGCTTCCACTGCTATTATCCACACCGCACAACAGGGACATTGCTGCAGTCATCACACACCTTGTCATTCAAGAAGACACGTGTGGGCTTGAAGACCTTCTGTAAAGCACTGTTGATGGGGCAACCTGAGATCTCAGACCTTACAGTGAATAGCTGCTCCCTTTTAGCTGTTCATCCAGCAGTGAAAACTAATCCTTCAATTCAAAAATAAAAGCCCAAAGGGGAACATGCTCATATAAAGGACAGAAATTGATTCAGAGGTTCCTGTGCTCTGGATTGGAATTGTCTGTCAGATAGATCAAGACCAGAAAATTGGCCATTCTTTCACATCAAAGGCAGCAGCAGTCTGGAGAATCAAAGAGGAGCCTTGACAGGGATAACAGTTAATTATGAAATATATTCAAGACTGGGCTGGCAATTAGCATTTAGTCTGCCACATACAGCACTCTAGAAGTACACACCTGGAGCAGCCAGGATGTGCCCTTTGACAGGTGCACATGCCATTCAGTGCCTTTCCAGCCTGGGTGAATCACCTAGCAGCTACTGAAGAATCTCTCTGTTCACCTCAACATTCAATAAGAAAAAATTTGAAACATTCCTACTGTAATTTATTCCCACATTAGAGGATCTCCCTAAACATGCAGAAATCTACAGCAAACATGGAACTCTTCAGCTACATCAGGTGTGCAGACACTCCAGGTCCATTACAGAAACTTGATCAATCCAAGTTCTTTGTACTTTACTGCTTTGCTTTCAAAGCATGTGCAGTACTTAACACTTCTGAGGCACATTACGTTTCCTAAGCACTACACAAACGCCAGCTAATTAGAGAAAGCTAACAAGAATATCCCAAGATACTGAATCTCTGTGTGTAGCAATGATTTTTCATTTTTTCCCCCTGAAATTGGGAAAGGTAAGGACTGAAAGATGCCTGAGAGTGTGCTCTCTGAACTATGGAACAGTCCCTTCAAGCAAAAGGCATTATATTTGAGACTTCCATACCAACAGTGCGTAGGAAAAACCCAGCTCAGCCTGGCCAAATAGGAATGGATCCAGTTCACTGGTAACTGCCAAGGAGGTATCACACACACTGTCAGATGCAATTTCTATTCACAACAGACATCCACATTATACACGCTCTACTCCTGAACTGGCACTACACTGCAGCCATGCCTCTAGGGGCTCTGTTGCAAAGAAAACAACCAAAAAGAAATCGCTAATCCCTTAATTAGGGACGTCCACTTCACCTTCTACAGCAATAATTTAGAAAGTCTGAATGGGCCACATGTCACCCAAGGAGAAAATTTAATAGCTGAAAGTGACTCAGATTGGTTCATTTCTCTGTACCTACACTCAGCTGTGCAAAGCTCCTGAAGGGAAGTACTCAGTGTTAATTGAGAACAGCTTCAGGAACCACTCATCACCACCTTTTTCAAAAGTCATCCTCTCTCAAATTTCTGATGGGAGCATTTCATCAGCCAAGTCGCTGATCCTAGGTCTCAAGCACAGCTCCAGGAATACACAATTAGGGCCTCATTCCCTTGAGTCTTCATAAAGCTCTTGTTTAAGCCACAACAGCTAGGGGATTAACTGTACTTTCCTAGCTGAGCTACTTCGCTGCCTCCAGGATAAAAACGGAAGCACCCACTATATCCACGAAAGAAGCCTGTTAGGTCTCATCATCCATTCTGCTACCCCCTTCCTCAGACCTCCCACACAATGACTGCATCACAAAACAGTCCCACAAAGCTACGTCCACTAGATTATGAGAAACAAGTCAAACCCCACAACTTATCTGTCTTGGGATACCAGTGGCATGAACGAGACTATTTACCATCATTGAAAAGGTCAGAGGTAAAAGCTTCTCTTTGCTCCCACTGACATTTATAGGTTGCTCCCCTCAGAAGGAGCTGCACGCGCTATTCTGTGTGTATCCATCTGTCTGCTACAGTAAAAAGGAAAAGTAAGGTCTACCCGCCTTTACTCAAGAGCCTGTCTCCTTTCTACTCACAAATACCAGAGAGAAACACCACTGCATACAACATTGCTCCATTTCTCCAATCAGGTGAAGAGGGACTCAGGTAATGACACAGAAAAACAAAAGACATTTGGATACCATGGTGATCATGGCCAGACAAGAAAGTAAATTAGCTACCATTATGACCGGGCTTTTCAAAAGAAGTAATTTGCATCTAGCAACTAAGAAGCAAAATAAAGATGCTTTAACAGAATTGCTGCTTGCTGTTTAACCCCACAGCAATGGAACAAGCAGTCACAGACACCAAACAGCCACACACCCTGGGCTTTTTGTATTTGACTGTCTCTGCAGATGCAAAGTACCTGACCACAGCTCCCTCCAGGTGTAATGAAGCCTCACTCTGCATTTCTTCTGGTAGCACAGCAGCTTGTGCACAATCTGAATGCACCGTCTGGAAAAGAGAGGGCAAAGGATTAATTATGTTGGATTTCCCTGGAAATGTCTCTGAAAGCAGCAGGGAAACAGACAAACTCAAAGGCTATCAGACGAGGATGGGGCTCATAGTTTTGGACTCCTAAAGGGAAGTAACACCCACAAGAACCAGACGAGATGAGAGAAAGGGACCTGTATGCCAGTTTAAGCTCAACACGATTAGAGCAACTACAAATGCAAGTTTCTTGTTTATATTTAATTAATACTTTCCACTCCTTGATGCCCTTACCCGAGGGACTCATAAGCTCCACAAAAGGTGTTACTTAACTTGCAGGCTCCGGATGTATGAGATACTATGCTCAGTTTTTGTAAAATCTGGACACAGTGAAGCTTTTCAGTGTCTCTGGCCCAATGACGAGGATAAAGGAAGTGACAGTGTCAAACTGCAGGATTTATAGTTTGACTGAGGTATGCAGTTTAAATATATTTTAAAAAGACAGAAAGATTTCTGTCAAATTTTCTAGTCTCCTTAAACAAATAATTTCAGTATGAGCTTTGGAATGATCAAGCAATATCCCTAGAAGCTCTGAAATCCCCCAACATACAGTTAGTATATTTGTGAAATCTCCAAATCCTGTAGGTCTCTATAGCATCTAGTGTTCATACAAAGTCATAGGCGCACATTCTTCACAAATAACATCAGAACCAAATACACAACATAACAAGTAAATTATCTAGCACTAGCTAACATTAAGGACATGACAGTAACCATATACGAATTTGAATTTGTTAAGACCAAGCTATTTTTAGTTACTGACATTTAGGAAAAAAAAGGAAGACTTCAAAAAGGAAATATTCCTTTTTCCCCAAATCCTTGTATCTCAAAAATACATTATCTCATTAACATCAACATCTCTCTGAAAAGACACTACTGAAAGACACTACACATCAGACAAACAGAGAAATAAAATTTTTAAAAATTACATGGAAGTTATTCCAAATGGGGTGAAGAGTTCAAACTAAGGCTTTAAAAAGCCTTAAGAAATAATATGCAAAAAAGGCAAAAATTATTCTTTTCAGACCCTTAGATGATCCCCAAAAATATCACGATGGGGTGAGGACTGAAACTAACTTTAGATTAATAAAGGTAAAACCATTTTTAATAGCTGACCATCACATTAAGTGCTATATTTCAAATTGAATTCTCACAAATTCGACTAAGAAAAGGAAGCAAACCAGCTAGGATACAGACAACTGTCTTCAGATCAGGAACAACAACCACTCTGGTGAGAAACCTGCTATTTCTGATGTTACTGGTACCAGACAATGCCCAGTACCTTTCCACCTATGTATCTGCTTGGCTCTAAGACTAAAACTGGCCTCTGCAAAAACACTATTTTAAGGTACTGACCAGAGAAATCTGGCAATTGCTAAAACATTTCTTTAAAATTAGAATAGCTATTAACACAAAATATTCTGCAGACATATCTCAGCATTGAAACTCTGTAGTTGTTTACAGTAGCATACAGCTCTCTGGGTGAAATCAAGGCATGGAAGAAAAGGGATGAGGAGGGGCAGAACAGTCCTAGTGCCCTGCCTAAAGAGCCAGAGCACCAGCTACAAGCCTATAGACTCCCAAACCACACGAAACTGCTTTAGCTATGAAGTTACCCATCCTGGTGGGGTGTTTTTGTCTGTTAGCTTTGTGCTGAGGATCCATAACACACATAATGGACAAAAGACACCCTGGGTCAAAACAACCTGGATTTCTCTTTTAAATATTAACATGCCCTCCCTTTAGCAGCTTCGTATTGTCACCTTTCAAATGTACTGCAGAGAAGGATGACTATTTATGCATTCAGAACACCCACGTTGTCTGCAATGATTGTGTCTGCTATGGGATGGTTTCAGACAGGAGTGCAGTGAAAGGACTGCACAAACATGACAAAATGAATGGATACAGATGTCCACCGATGTTTGCTACTGCTCATTATTTTTATTCTCATAGGGTTTCTAGATGTGACCTTACTTTTGAGCCCAAGCATTTCACACCTTTCCTGTGAAATTCCAATGTGCTACACCCATCTACAACTCATTCTGTAATTGTCACTAAAAAAACCAAAAACATTTCTCAAACTCATAATCGAACTATACACAACCCCTGCAAAGGCACTGTAGTTGCAGGGTTATTTGGGCAAAACCAGAACAAGCTGAAAAGTTACCTTAGGGGAAAACAGCCTATGTATCTTTATCTCTTCTACAGAATATAGTGCTGTTCAAGCCTTGGGGAAATTCAGTACTGCACAAACAGTCAGAGCAAAGCCAATGATCTGCCTAATCCTGTTTCTGCCCTCCAGGCTAAAGCAGAACAAAGCACTCTAGGGGCCTCCTGGGACACAAGCCCTGCTGGTGCGTAGCCCGGTCCCCTTTTCTCCTTTTCCCCATTGTTAAATCTTACCCCTTGCTGCCTACTAGCAGGCTATTTCAGGCTTAAACCTCTCTCCCACTCTCCACATTGCCTTCCAGGCCTCACGTCAGTCATCCCTGGTTTTTCAAAAGTGTATTTTCAGTTTCTAGAGCAAGACTCATCTTCTGGGAAGTGGGGATTCTTGCAATGACTCTGTATTATGAAACTTCTTTCAGATTGAAAAGCTCTTTGTGTTTGATCAAGTAGATTAGAAAATTAGTCTGAAAGATGGAAATTCATTTTGCTTTCAGTTTTTCAGTTTTTAGAAGTAGAGCATTTTAGAAGTAGAAGAAGTTGCTGGGAGAGTTCATGAAAAGCCATCCTGCTCCCCACCAGCCACAAAGTGTTACTTCAGCCATAAGATTGCTCTACGACTAGAATTCGACCCAAATTCAAACTTCAAATGAAATCACAATGAGTCACCCCATAGAAACTTACACATAGAGATCCATAGGAAATTCTTTCATCATGTGTGTTACAATGAATTCCACCATCAAATCTGATAGAAAAGAAAATGATAAAGTAAGTATGGAGCTAGCTACAGTTACCTTCTAGTAGACAACACTGAGGAAGTCGAACTACTCCACCTACCTACCTACTTCTACCAGACAACAGTCCTGCTTAGATGAGAGAAATTTTTGTTTGTTTGTTTGTTTTAAAGAACATTAGACATCCCCTGGAATTAAAAATAAAACTGCTGGCAACTAAGGGCACATAATATAATTTGCTTTGAGGCACTGCTTGCCCATATGCCTTCCCCCCTACGACTAGCCAAATAAAGAATACACCACGACTTCTGATGCTTAGAATTGCTCTCACATGTCAAGACTTGTCACTAATGGAAAATTCCATTGACAAGCACATTTCAGAAAATCATTCTTACCAGAAACGATGCACAACCTAGGTGTTTACTTAAAGAGAAGACACTGTAGAGAATACCTATTTTTCCCTAAAATAAATTATAAGGCAAGTAAACCTAGATTGATCTCAACATAGGCCAAGCCTTTGCAAAAGACTCATTCAGAAAAAAAAAAAAAAAAAAGAGAATGTATCTAACACTTAAGGCCTCCCAGTGTGAGGATAAGAGGCAAAGAGCATAGAAATACAACTGAAAGAGATTAAGTTGCTATGGTTCAGCTAATAAATGCTAACTGAATATGTGTGTGTGTTCTCCGCCCAATACAACTTCAGCATAAAATGCTTAACCCATGCCAGTGGTAACAATTGTGAGATATAACTTCCTAGGGAATTAATAGCCCAGCAATTTGACTCAAAAGTGACTAAAAACAGTCTAGTGAAAGAATGCATGAAATCTGGTAAGTCTAGAAAGATTCTTCACACAGCTGTTGTGTTTTGGCTTCAACAATTACCTGTTTGAAAATGCTGGAATCTCAGACTGCTTCCATAACATTAGGCTCAAGAGTAATTCAGGGATCCAGGCTCTGTCCATTTCTGCACCCATTTATGCTTTTGGCCTCCATAGCAATGAGTGTCATGATTTAATCATGTACTGCATGAAAAGCTTTCAACTGTGCCTCCATATCAACAGGCAAAACCAACACTAGCTACTGACGTTTCTGTTTTTTTTTTTTTTTCTCAGAAAAGGCTAAATGCCCAGCAAACACGTTCACAAACGTGTCTTTTCCATAGGTTTGCCCTCATCATATCATCTACAAAGTGCTTGTGACTAACTGTTATCACACACACCTAAAACACCAAATTTATTAATCAGCTGCCCTCCCTATTGTTACTAATTCAGGTAAAAGGGGCTAACAGAATTATGCAAAACTTACTGTAAACATATATAGGATTTCTTGCTACAGAGCAGCAATCTTGGATTTAATTTCTTTGTGAGGCAGCCATGTACAGAGATGGACAGTCAATTACTGGAAATATCTTTAGTATGTAACTGCCCTCCTTTTAAGCCTATCCATCCCTTCCCTTAATCCACAAATGTCATATTTCTATTGCAGAACAAAACATGCTTTGGGAACCACAAGCACACCTGTACTCCAACAATACTCACCAAGCACTGCACACACCAGTGGGCGACAGGGCAGGTTCTTGTCTGCTGCTTTCTTTCTATGTCTCATTGGCTTCAAACACACAGAGATGAAAAGAAGTCAGCAGAAGCTTGAAGTGACATTCTGAGTACTACCGGTTTTTTCATGCAAATAGTACCATCACACAAGCTTCTCATTGTCTTTTTCTCCAACTGCTATCTCACCTATATTAATCCTAAAGGTCGTGGCTCGAGCAAAATTGTGCCTGCTTTTCATCATGCTGACCACTGGGTTTTTGTTTCTCTAGCCCTGTAACTGGAGGGCACTGTTTTATCACAAGGGAGGGGGGAAAGAGAAAAAAAGAAGGAACGACAACCAACCAAACAAACAAAAAAATCACACAGCAATTCCTCCACCTTGGTTAACGTACTGATTTGCTCCTGACCCAGTAGTCTGATCTGCACTCTTAACAGCCTGTGCAGTATTAAATGGCTTTGGTCTTTATTGTTAACAGACGAGAAAGGCTAATTGAATGGCAAGTTAAGTGCAGTATGCTCACTGTAAAGTAAGATGTTTGTTTCTGTCCTGGACTAGTGACACTTTCAAGTGCTGCTTCGCTATCAGATGAGGTGGAATTTGCCAGTACCACACAAAGACAAAATGCATCAAGTTAGGATAACCATTCAAGTTACTTGTAACTACACAGCTTCACAAGCCAGACAAGGACACAGACACCTACAGTAAAAAGCTCTGGAAAAGACAGTTTCCTCCTTGAAGGTGAAATACCACACCCAGGATGAAGCATAAGCCAAATCAGAGGGCTCTGTGTAACTCCAGCTGGCTGTTAATATATCACATGAGGGCTAACGCTTGCTAAAGATTAAGGGAGAACATTCTCTCTACCACTGATTCCTCAGAGACAGCATAATACAGAGCTCCTCGCAGCTACACAGGCCTCTGAATTCACCAACAGGGCAACCAGCTCTTTGTTCTTTGAAGGAGCGAGGCATTCCGAGTGCAATTTCAAACTCATTCCCCAACTACTGCATTTCTCACAGTATTTCCACATACCTTAGCAATCTAGGTTAGATATCTGTGACACCGTTTTCAACATACAGTGACTCAAATCCTCTGCATTCTCATCTCAAAGAGAAAACAGACCATCTGGAGGAAAAGACTCACCATCCTGTGTAAGTTTACTCGAAAATTCATGTTGTCATCATGGAGAAAAGCATTAGCATACTGATCCTATTGAAAAGAGCAAGAAAAGAGAGGAGATATGAATAGCCAACCAAGTACCCAACACCTTCCACTTGCGTCTCAAATCACATGTGTTTCAGTGTAAAACTGCCAACATACAGCTATAAGATTAGAAAGCCACCTGTCACCTCTTCTTCTCCCCACCCATGTCTCCAGTCACACAAAAGTAAACCCCTCCTGATCCCAATTCCACTTGAGTTAAAGTCTGCACTACTGCTTGTTTTGTTAGCAATTTGTTTTCCATTCTTCTCCTTTGCTCATCCAAACTCTGGATTGCACACACCCCAGTGTCAAGAGTTTAACAAAAGCCGTATAATGCATGAGTGGTTCTCCAGCACGCAAGTCGCTCTGACTGTGTGGACAAAGGTTTATGCTGGTGTTTCGACGGACCCATCATACCAGAAGTTACTGCAGTACTAGCAGGGAGGTTTATCAGCTGTCCCATCCCTTGGACAAAGCTCATTCCAAGACCAGCTCTAAATCAAAGTGATTCCTCCAGATAATGCACAACCATGTTGGGTAATAAATATACGCTCCCTTTAATTCCAGAACGAAAACATGCCCTTGCTACATAGAAACAGAATTTCTTATCTTGTATTATCTATGTATACACTTGAAAAACTCAAGTGCCAAAAACATTTAATTATAAATATTTGAAATGCAGATTATTAGCTTTCAGGCTGCACCTTGAAGAAACACTACTTCAGAATCCTTACACTGGCTATCAACGTTGCTGCTTTTTATTCTTTTTTAAGAATTAAAGGTCTTTACTTGCAAGCAAGCAAAATGCAAAAGCCATGCAAACTCAATCACCACTCAGGACATCAGTCAAGCCATTAGTATATACTTCCCATGAGACAGGACCACATTCAGCCAGGACTGCTGAGAGAGCTCTGTGATACTGCTTTCTCACCTTACTACCAGATTTGCTACTTGTCTTGCTTGTAGGGACCTAAAACCATGTGGCTTCCTTTCAGACTCGTATCCTTATGTGGGAGGGATATGGCATTGCCCATGTTTACCACAAACAGCACAGAGCTGAAAGCCATTAGCACATTACTCATTTAAAAGCAGACCATAAGGTCACTCAACAGCCAAGAAAGAAAAGGCTTAGGTTCACTCTATTCTCTCTTCATCCCTGGGAGCTGGCTAACCCAAATAAGATGATCCAATTTTCAAGTTTCAAGTCAATTTTAACAGTACTGCATCAGGTATATTAGCAAAACATTAAGTGCCTGAAGTCCTCACGACTCAGCACCACTGCGGATCTTCAGCTTCTGCTCAACAGGAGGCAGGGGACGTGTATGCAGATACAGCCCTGGAACACACCATCTGCCGAACAGTTTCACACAAGAAACCTACCTCTGCTATGCATGTCAGGATAATCAGACACAGCTTGCCACTGTGTAGCCGGTGCTCATCTGCAAAGAAGAAAAAACAAGTCCTCCATGAGCCACACAAGCCTAGCAATGCCGAAAAGCGAGACAGCTGTTGCAGCAAGAGAAAAGCCCAGCCTTGGAGATTCTTTGCACTCCTACTTCCTCCATGATAGCTAGCTACTCTCATCAAGCACTCAGCCTCCAGCATGACCACTAAATCCCACCAATTTTTCACCAGTCTGTGCCAACCGCGGAGTTTCTGATTTGAACATCCAACAGCACTATAACTACCAGTGGGGCTTCTGTCTCATTCACTTTTACTCCCACAGATATTCTAAATACTGGGGTTAGTCCCTGCCTTTCTGTCACAGCAGAGATGTACCTTTCCCTCTCTTGGACAAGATGGAAAGAAAAAGATCACCTCCCCTGTAGGTTATGAAACAAGCAGCAAAGCTTTGGTAGAGGCACAGCACAGTGTGGCAGAACAATTAACCCCAATACTGAGAGACATGACCTACTTTGCTCCATGCAAAACCATGAAAGAAGGAAATCTGCAAAGACTTCGCATTTTAAGTCCAAGGAGTTCCACCCTGATCATGCTCTGCAACTTGTTATTCACCTTACAGCTTCAAGCAGCTTTTGCCCTGAATGACAACTGGAGGGGTGAAAGGCTCACAACTAGGGAGGGAATAAAGCAGAAGAATGCAATTTTTATTTGGATTATTTAAAACTCTTCTGTCTCAGTTTTAACCTTGAAATACCAAGAAAACAAGATATATACAGTCATAGAGTAACTTAGGATGGAAGAAACCTCTGGGTCCAATCCTTGCTCAAAGCAGGGCCAGCTGAAATCAGGTTGCTCAAGGCGTTGTCCAATCAAGCTCATTTAAAAATCTTTGTTCTAAAAATCAAATCATACCACACATCCCCAAAACCACAAAACCAAACAAAAGCAACCACAACAGCATACCTGTACCTAAATTCTGAGGAAGCCTAAAACTGCACATTCCTGAGACCTCCAACAGCTTCTCTAAAGCATAAGACTACTAAACATGCCATCCCAGGCATCTGCCTTTAGACTCAAGAGTTGGAGGAGAGGAAAATCTGAAACAGTCAGACCACTTTCATATAAATCAGAAGACAGCATCAGCCAAACTCCTTGCATCTTTGCAAGTCACTTTTACAAACACTTTGCTAGTTAGTGTGTATATGGCAACCTATAAAAATAGCTAGAATGGGCTTAGCTAGCTGTTCTCTCTAGTTTGATGCCTCTTTCGTTTTCTTTTCTGTGCTGGTGAGGGACAGATATTTACTAATAAGATGTGCCCTGAATTGTGCTGATTTCATCTTGCTCCACTAAGTAAGATGAAGAGGAAATTTGTAATGGGAAAGTTAAAAGTCTCTGCTATGTCTCCTTACCTCAGCTAAAAGGTTTAAGTGAAAAGTTTTCTACTTCAGCAAAGCAGGAGAAATGGCCTCAAAGAACTCTGATACACTGGAGCCTTGTTATTTTCCTACTGTAAGGCCTCCCTGTATACTTTCGTAGGTGCTCCTACCATGTCTCTCTGGGGATTGTGCTGTAAAGGCTCCTATTTCCCACTCTGCCTTCAGCCAATGCGAGGTGAACATTGTGCCATTTTTGGCAGTTATGGGGCAGCTATACAGGCAGTTACTCAGATGCTTCATACTTTCATAGCATCCTTCATTAAAGGAACAAAGCAGAACACTCGCTATGGGGAAGTATAGCAGTATGAACCCTATTCTACAGATGGGAAAAAATTATGCAGGGTTGTTGTTTCTCCCAAGCCAGTTGCTTCTGACTGACACAAGAGAGAAAACAAGAGGAAGATCTAGGGAACGCAATCTATTAAATTGTGCTCTCTGGGACAGGACCAAAACAACTGTCTAGTCCTGGATGTGAAACAAACCAGTCTCCTCTCTAAGCATTCCCACCTGTCTCAAGACCCATGGCGTAAATTATAATTATTCATTCTTCCTCTCCTGTTGCTATATTGGTGTCACACGCTTGGTCTTACACAAGAAGAAAAAAAGTTAGGCAGGGCCCCATCTATCATCAAAATATAAGGACAGGAATATAGCCACTAGAATCAAGAAGTTTGGAAGGCATACTTTTTTAAAACGGCCAGTGGAGCTCACTCCCACATACTACCACGGCAGCAAAGAGATTAAGTCTTTAAGCCACACAAATTTCAAATGTTATACAAGCTGGAACCAAAGTAAAGAAAGAAACATCAACTCCTGTCTCATATGAGAATAAACGCATCCCTCACTGGCTTGTTTAGTAAGGAATCCCCTCTATCAGATTTCACTCCATCTGAAACTAATCCAGCTTGGCAGTTCCCGAGGCCCTATGCTGACTTTCCGTATTACAGTGACTAAAGTGCAGAAGTTAAATTGAAAAACATAAAATTGTTCCATCAGAGACTTGGATCAGCAAGAGTGACCCTGACAAAAGCAAATGAGAATGCTGAGGGAGCTGGTAAGCCCTCCTCATGTGTGCAATCTATAAGAAATGACTGAGCAAAGATTGAGGTGGTGTAACTTAAAGACAAAAGCAAGAGGAAACATGAATGGAGACTTCAAACACATAAGGGCTGTCACAAAGAAGAAAGAAATAATCCGTTCTCAGTATCTATCTCAGAGAAGATAACTACTAATTTAAATCATAGCAAAGAATTTAGGATGCACCTGAAGCTTTCTCACAATAAGGGTAGCTAAACACTGGAATGGATAGTCTAAAAATTATGTTCCACTATCAGAGTGTCTTTATCCAACCTGTTAGCAACATCTCTGCGAGAAGATATAGGTAAGCCTGATTAGGCCTTGGTTTTGAGGGGCGCACTAGATATTTTCATTCATATTTTTGGTCCTAATTTAAATTATCCACTTTTTCTTCAAGTAGCTTGCATACTGAACAAGACAGCCAGATACGATTTCGCTGCAAGCTAGTAGGCACAAGGAAACTCTCCTGCCTGCTCTCTTACACAGTGCCAAGCATTCAAGTTCAATAATCGATGTATCATACCTCTGCAGCTACCTCCCTATTTTTGTTCAGTTGTTAAATCTAACAACAGCAAAAGTTGGTAATGGGCTGAAATACAGTCCAAAGATCACTTGTTATGTTCACACTATGACCTTGCCCTTACAACCACTGGGCAAAACAGCATCCTTGGGTACCCTGAGCAGGAGATGATGCAATACTTCAACTCCAGCTAGCTGAAATTAATGCCCCCAAAACTATCAGGAGAAACAAAAACCATAATATGGAAATAGAGCTTGTTAAGAAAATTACTGCTAGTGCTAGTGTAAGTCACTGTCATCCTCTTTATAATTAAAGAGCCAACTGTTTAACCAGCAAGCAAAGGACAAAGGAAATATTTCCTCCTAACGCTGAGCTTTGCCTCCTGTGTCAGCTTCAAAATTTTCTTAAACATACAGTTCAGTGGTACATGACTTCCCCACTCTGACAGACAGGTGGGAACCAGTATGCTCACACCTCCTGCACAGGGACAGGCTTGGTTATTAGATACTATTTTTACTTTCCATATTTTACTTCTTTCCTGCCAGCATTAGGTCTCTCCTAGTCTCATAACTCTTATCTTGCAACAAGAAATAATTTAGTTTTCTCAAAAGGTGGAATCTCCAGTCCTCTAAAGGTACACCAGTTAACTTCTATTTCTGGAGTCACTAGACATGTTCTCATGCCCTTCTGACTTCAAGAAGCACTGCTTGCTGCATCCACACAATTTATTTACCTTTTGTGTCCTGCATCACAATCGAGCTGTACTTCAAGAAGGTTATCAGCAGGTTGCTGGTTTGCACATCAGCATCCAAAGGCAGCTCTGCAGAGCTTATAACTGGAACAAAACAGATAAGACACATTTACCCTCCACAAACACAAGAGATAACTATACAGAGAACCAAGTCAGAGATCTGGGATAAGATCAGCTTATTTGCAGCATCATCTGACCTCCTCCTCCTTCATGACCACCCAGTAAAGATTTTGTTTTGAAAACCGGTACCACTCTCTTGGAGACCATTTCTCCTTCTCTGTGTACGGGCTGTGGCACCCAGCAAAGTGATAGTCTTCTCTGTCCTGGCCTGGATGCCAAGGGAGCTCAGTCTGCTGTTTTAGCACTCATCAACATTCTCAACCTAGGGAGGTCAAGATGCTCTCACTGATATCCAATTAATTCTTACAACCAACATAGCAAACATTCACACATTCTCAGTTTGGAAAAAAAACATGCTCAAAGACCTGTTCAGTTTCAGCAGTTCTGGAATTTCAGTTCCAAAAAGTCCACATCAATTCCATTCTCCCCCCTCAACAACAGCCTCTCTTGCAGAAGCAACACACAAGACAGTACTGTAACAATTATTCCATGACCAAAATGATAGAAAAGAGAGGTAGAAAGAACAGCTTTATAAAAATCATGAAGCAGAAGCAATCATAGCTTGTGCTAGAGAAATCAAAAGACAGCAGGGAGCAGAAATGTGCTTTCCATACCTGCCGCAGAACAGCGGTTCATTGGCAATTCTCTAGGATACACTCCTTACTACCACCAGCTGCACTTTTGACACCTTAACACTGGACATCATCTGCCTTAGACCTTACAAGAAGCTATCTCAATCACTCGGCTGATTGCACGATGTGCCTCCTTGCTCACTCCCCGTGTACCATCTGAAGCACCAAGTTTATGAGATGTCAAACCTCATGTGACTGAGCCACACTTTCACTGACGACTGAGCCCAAGCTGTCCGCAAGAGCCATTCTCAGCCTCCCCATTCAGAAATGCTTTATGAGAAATATTGAAGGGAGGGGAAAGGTAAGCGGGAAAAATGCAGCATGCATTTACCTGCAGATCCTGCCAGATAAATCTGATAGATTTAAGATAAATTAGCTCAGACAGAAAAAATTAACAAACCAAAACAAAAAAAACCAAACTGATGGAACTAGTCTAGAAGGTCCACAACACATGCAGACATACACTTCAGCAGAGACAGGAACACAGTAATGCCCTGCACAAGGTACTGGTGAGACTGTCTCCAGCTCTGAGCATAATTATGCTGATCCCATGTTAAAAGAGGATGAACTCACACTTGAACAAGTTTAGAGAATGGCTAGTAGGTTGATCAGAGGAACAGAGTACCCTTCTTATGAGACAGTAAAATACACAGTTGAGTAATCCAATGTATGAAACTGTTATCTGTCTCCAAAGTAAGGTTAGCATCATGATCAATGGGTATAAACTGACAAGAAGTGCAGGTTGAAAAGTTGAAAATTTCTAACCAAGGAACAAAATGCTGAAACTGCCTCCCAAGAAGAATTACTGGGAAACAAATTTAACAAAGGCAGAGCTTGACAAATTTACGGGATCCTATGATGATGTGCCTGGAAGCACAAGGCACTAGATTCAAAGAGTAAAGGTGATCTTTTCCAGCTCTACATGTCTGCCCTGACATGACAATAACGCTACTGTTCTGGCTCCCCAGGAGTTCGAATTCGCAAGTTTTCACATGCAGGAGGTCATAGGTGGCTTGAACTACGATTGCCAGAAGGCCCTCTCTCTTCTCAAGCTACAAGGATAGCCTAAGATAGGGCTGCCTTTGCACTGGAAACAGATCTGCAGACCACTAGGACACACGTCTTAAGAAGTATATTATCTCTTTTCCATCTATCCTCAGGAACACTCAAGGCTTTCCTCACTCTTGAGGAAAGAAAAATGTATTTATGATGAGATCAGACCTTGCAAGAAGTGAGGAACTACATCTGATGTTTGGATGGCTAGGTTTGGGGCTCTGAGGGGAAGTGATTTGATCCTGTATGCAGCTGTATTTTGGTTCAGAGAAAAGTCTGCTTTAACAAACGCCACCTTTCATAATTCAAGCCTTATATCACATAACCCTGTAATGAGGCAAGGAAGGTTTATTTACCCCTGGAACTGGGGCAAGTACAGGCACAGAAGGATGAAGGAGATGAACCAGCAGTAAAATGCAGGATTCTTTAAACCGAGCACTGAGAGGCCCAGAGCAGAGCAGAGGTTCTAATGGAGCTCAGGATTGTACAATCACCTTGAATACAAAATTGTAGCCCTTGGAAACAACAGGCCAAATAGATCAATGTAACCGTGCTGTTCCAATCACATCAAAGAAATGATAATGGGGCTTTTAGCTTCTAAAGGCTGCACATCCCCAAGCATGAGCTGTTTCAGTCCATTCAATCCTGAAGCTCTGTCAGGGGCTCCTGACACGTTGCTAACGTGCCTGGTCTGTTGGCAAAGTCTACGCAATGAGACTGGAAGCTTTTTCACCCCCAATATTATGAATAGCTCAAAGATTTAGCTGAAAGTCAGAAAAATTTATTTATATCCCCAGTGGCTCCTTCTGGAGCTGTTACAATGAACGCAGTGAATGAATATTTAACAACAGTAAGCAAACTGACATTTAGATAACTATGGTGACAGGCACACTTGATTTACATATTATGGATCAACAGTTACTAGCAAAAGTCTCATTTTTCAAAAAAAAAAAAAAGAAAAGAAGAAATCACTCTGAAGAACACATCACTGCTTATCCTGGTTCATGCTACAGACCTTGATTTTTTTTAATAGACATTTTTAAACTTTAAAAGGCCTTAATTCACATTATAGGCTAACAGACAGAAATTTCAAACCAGAATTTGAATCCTTTTTTAATCTCAGTCAGTGTAAAAAAGTGCCTGAAACCCACAGATGGATTTGTGCATGTTGCTGTAACTTGAAAATAGCTCAACTACACTTTTTTTTTTTAAATGTAGAAAAAAGAAGAAAGCAATCTTCTCATTCCAAAGCCAAAAAGCCTCCTGCTAACTCTCAGCCACTGGCAAATTTTACAGCTGAGTTGCAAGACCTTAGAAAATGAGGAAAATTCTGACATACCTTTAAAATATCAGCAACACCATCACTCAAATTAAACGAAACAAGCCAAGGTCTTAAAAAAAAAAGTCACTGAGAGTAGGGATCAGCAAGGTGTCAGGAAATTATAAATAAAGAATGCTTCCCAATGTAATTGCTGCACATTAAGATCAGTTCCTCTCCTTATACTTAGTAATCCTACAAGCAGCACAAAGCCTCAAGCTTCAGAAGATCATTGCCTCTGCTGAAAGCAGAATGGAGTTTTCGGTTTGCTTTTGTTTTTTAGTAAATTGAAACAAAGAGAGTGCAAGCAAGATTTGTATGTAGGTAAGCATAAATTCTGCCAGTTGTATAATATGGTGTGTGGGAGGATACATGTGCAATGAACACGTTGAACAGAAGCCCACAAAATGCCTGTCCCTCTACGTTTTACGTTATATGCACAGGGAGACTTGAGACATAAGGGGCTTTTTAACTGAAGCTTTTGATATCCATGGTAACCAGATAGCATTCATCCACAAGGAGGATCATCCTTAACTAGGATATCAAATGACCTGAATAGCTGATATAACTGAGTAACCTAGGCTGCTTTTCCCCAGAAATATTTCCAAACTGTGCTCTATTCAAACTGACTCTGTTCCTTCATTAAACACCTTCTTCAGATCTAGAGGATGCCACTAAAGTATGTGACAACAGCCATTTGTTTTCTTCTCTTAAACTAGGCTATATCTATCCATACCTTAAACGAAAAGGGTTTTTATTTTAGATAATTTCAAAGCGTATTCATGTGGACACATAACATCCCATTTAGATGAAAGCTCTCAGGACAAGCAGTCATTTACAAAGCCTATCAGAGAAAAGGCAACAAGAGGGAGGAATACCTCCACACCCAGGCTGGATTCAAATCGCAATTAATTCAGACGTGGGGACAAGCGCATTAATGACAAGCAAGAATCCACTGTGATTCTCTGTAAATCTGTTCCAATGACAAATAATCCCAGGCAAAGAACCTGACACTAGAAATATTCGTAAGTAAAAGCCTACATAAAATAACTAATGGGCTGGGTGTATCTTTATGCAGATACAGGGACAGAAGTGTTTTCAGAAGGAATATCAGCATAATTTCATTGAGCAACATACAAGGCAAAACATAAATAAATTCAAGTCAAAGAATCTTGCTCATATTGAGTAAGGTAAGTCACTCCAGGAAGAGACCACCAGGTTACATCTGCTCCAGACAGACCTCATTACTTGCTATCTTGAGAAAACGCTTTGCTAGTTATTCTACAGTTTTTAATTGTTTTTCCCCAGTACACCATTACACTTTACTTACCATCTGAAGAAGGTGGAGTGGTTCCAAGTGGAGTGACGGGTGTCGTCGGAATTGGGCTTGTTGGTGTTGTCATCAGCCCCATTTCAGGATGGCTCTAACAGAAAACACAAATTCCCAGACATACATAGGTCAATAGGTTCCCTAGGCACTAGTCATGCAGATCACGACTTGTACTGTTCCACACTCTCACACAATAGACACGGCTAATGAAGTCTCAAGAAACTTCAACCTCTCCTCCAAAAAGCAAGGAGACCTTGGATGACCTTCCTGACCTTGGATGTCTACAATTAAACTGTACATCGACTTCTTTACTCCATAAAACATACAAATACATCAGAAAGTGGTGGCTGTCACCAGCAGACAGACAACATGCCCTTCCCCAGTGCAGAATGGGAAAAGGTATGCAGAACCCTACACTGCTTATAGCTCCCGATTCCCCCCAAAACAACCCAAGGGTGTGCATTTGAAGTCTTCCTCCAAGACCCTTTTATTTCTCTTTCTAAAAGCAATCTCTCCTCGCTCTTGCCCTCCACCTCTTCATATTCAAAGATGATAGCAATTTATTACTTCCCTGTCTCACTACAAAGTCCAGGCACTGCAGGAAAAAATGCAAACATAAATAACACTACCATTATCGATCCTCTCAGCTTCCGTCAGTCAGTTACTTTCTCCATTTCATCTTTGTTAATAGTTGCCTGCCTAATTACTGGTTTGACTTTACTCTTCATAAGTTTCCGGATCTATCCCCACTGGTGAGACTGTAGGCAATGTGCCATCCTATTTTAAGTCTGGCTGCCAAGCAGAGTGTCCATTTCATAGGGCAAGTTTTACATAAATGTATCATTCGCCTTAATATATCATCACAATTTCAAAATAAAAGAAAGGGATAAAGAACTGCTGACTTCACATTAGTTCTGTAGGACCTTTCACAAGTGGATATCCTCCACATTATCTTCAAATATCTCATTTTATGAGCAACTCTAAATGCCTGTATTTAATGGAAAGCACAGACACACATACCACAATTCAAAAACAATTTTAAGTCTTTATAGGTACTGATTTAAATTTTAAAATACAATTTTTGCATAAAACAGGTTTGCTTCCACAGATTTTGCTATGGTGTTTGCCTTCCTTTTCCCCAAACACTATCAGTTGAGAGACCATAGTGCCACCTAGCAGCAAAAACTGAGGACCCACAAATGTACAAAAACCTTAACCCTTCAGGCATCAACACAACTGTATCCCTGCTTTTCCTATGTGCCTACACAGCAGCAGGTAGTCATTCACGCAGTCCCTGGCAATGGGCACCAACTTAGACAAGAGCATTCATCAGCTTTTATGAGGTTTTTTTCAAAGGACAGCCCGACCTACCTTGCCCTCTCTTAAATAAAGGATTACAGACAATCCACCCAAGAACATCAGCCCTCCAATTAAACCAGTAAGATCAGTCGCTGCTTCAGCTATCACTTTCACAAATAACTAGTTTATCCTTTTATTTTTAACTTAAGAGCTTTTATTTCCAGCTGCTCTTTTCCTGCCTTACTCTTTTCCCTGCCAGTGGGCTCTCTTGCCACAGGGATATCTTGTCCACAGAAAGGTCTGAGTTGGTATTACACAGAACTGAAAGAGCAGAAATCTCTCACAAGTGGTAGGAATTAATAACTTGGGAAAAGAGAGGCAGGGAACCTCAGCAAATTAATCACCCATGGAACAGAAGCTTTCTTCAGAGGCAGTATATTTGCCTATCTGACCTCTTCCATCAGCACCACTGTCAGGAGTCCCCAAAGGTCTCCTCCGTCATGCCAAGTGTCTAGCCTGTGATGTATGGCTGCACTCTGAGGACCTGAAATAACTGGGAAAGGTGTTAACTGCTCTGTTGATGTAATTTTTCTCACAGATTACCAGCAGTACTCACAAGCCAAAATTAAAAGCTTAAACTTGAAAGTTTTCCTAAACCCATCAGGCTATCCTTTCAGCTAGCCACAGCACAATCACCAAATCAGACAGACTCGTTCTCCATCTCCCAGCAATGATTGTCTTTGCAAATTCACACTGTATCTAGAAAAGCATCTAGAGGTTTGTGCTCAGAGGTATGGATCAACCCACTGCTGCTCAGAAGGCTGCCATTTTTGCACCATAATCAGCACAAAGAGGAGCACTATGTTCTGGCAACAGTCTCCCAAGGAAGTATGAACATGAAATAGTATTTGAAACAACAGTCCTCATATGTCAATTAGTCCCTAAGTGAACGATACTCTGACAACAACATGCAGTCTGTGCATGTCCCAGACAGAACAACTCATCCAGCTTTGGAGACAGATCAACCCTAACCTACCAAGGGCATGAATTGCTCTGATAGCTGCAGCAACCTCACCCCCAACAGCTCACCCACTCCATCCTCCCTAAAGGCAGTACCAATAGGGCACAGAAGGCATCCCACGCAGCCCTTCCCATTCAGCGGGGAAAAATGGCTCAATATAACATGAGCTGTGTCCCCAAAACTTTACTCATCTTCTGGTAAGGCAGGAAACATTCCCTAAAAGTATAATAAACCCAAGCCCTAACCTGCTTCTCTGTCATGGCAAGTACACATGGCAAGCACACAAGAAAAAATAAAAAAAAAAAAAAAACAAAAAAACAAACAAAAAACAAACAAAAAACCCCTTCTTTTCACCAGTTCCATTTTTTACTTTTACTTTCTAATTTCAAAGATATCCACTACAAAGAAGAGGGCAAACTCACTTGTGCCAGAACTGTGATGAAATTCCGGTTTAAGTGAACAGCTTCATAGAGGGCCAGAAGGATTGCTTCATTCGTCCTGCGGAAGGAATACAGACAAAAGCACAGTTAGTTAAGGTGTAACACCAGACAAGAATACCAAGACCAAAGTTCTTCAGAAGCATGACCCATCTGAAAGAATGGATTTTTTTTTTTTTACAACTACATGAAACTCTGCCTCTGCAATCCCGTTGTTCTTCCGATTATTAGTTGTACTTCTCAATCCATAAAACCAGCTACTTTTAGAGCTCAACTAGAGTCTTTGTTCTCTTCTTGCTGAAGTTCTCCCTCATTGCTCAGTCTCAGTGTTTTCCCTTTAAAGTCCTTTCCTTTAAAGGAAGAGGCTCCTATAGACACCATACACCCTCATATTTATCACTTGCCCCCTTGATTTAGAAAACACATTCTTGGGGACAAGAGTGCACAAACCATCACTTCCCATCTGCCACTTCCAACAGGCCTATTATATCTTCAAAATGCCTCATAAAAACCACAGGGGTGGGTTTTTTGTTGTTGTCGGGTTTTTCTTGTTGTCTGGGGTTTTTGTTTGGCTGGTTTTTGTTTGTTTTGGTTTGGGTTTGTTTGGTTGTTGTTTGTGGGTGTGTTTACACACTTCATTACAAGCAATTCAGCTGTGGCTCCTCCTGCTGCACCCTCCTCACTTCAGTGAGAATCCATTGTTTGCAAGGGTGTGGTAGCATATTAGTTACAAGAGAACTGATGTCTCTTTAGTTGTCTTTGCTACATTAAAACAGCTCCACGATGGAGCAGATCATGTTGACCAATGTGGTGAATTGCCGTTCATTGTGTAACCAACATCTGTGCACTTACTGGACTGAGATCTTCTCATCAGCATCTGCTATGAACATGCTGCCCACCTATGGAAAGAAAGAGTATAGCATAGGAGGAAGTTATAAAAGCTATTAGACAGCAAGAGAGAAGACACGGATTTAACTAAATCAGAAGTGCCCCGGGACAGGTGTTCTCATCCAAGGCACACATGCAACTTTCTTTCTAATACTAGTAAAATACAAATGGAAAACAAGATGTCAATCTACAACCACATTTTATTTTGCACTACTGTCATTGACCAATGCTTCACCTGTCAAATCACAAAAGAAAGAAAGAAAAAAAAAGCACTGTATCTTGAATCCCAACCTAATATGTGATTCTGTAAGGGGACAACAGAAATAATTTCCCACCTGTTTGGCCCAAAGCAGTAGCAGTTTTACCCATGCCACTCCTCACAAACAGCTGCCAGCACTGAACTACCCTTACCTACACAAAGTTTTCCTGCCAGTTGGATCTCAGACTCTAAATCTCAGACTAAAGCAGAGCCAAACTGAACAAGGGGAACAGTGAATACTCTTTACAAGGGACAAACTCATTATTGCCTTTTGAGGGTACCTCTCCGAAAATGCAGACACTGCCTATTGCAGAACCCAAGCTTACTTCATAGCTCCAGCCCACCCAGGATTGAGAAACAAGATGGTAAAGAAACAGATCTCTAAAATTAGCCACAGACTAGACTTTGCTACAGCACAAGGTGCCCCAAAAATATTCACCTCTGTTTTAGGCTACATCAGCAGAACTGCAACTTGTTTTTAAAAATAAGTAGCTGTTTAAAAATATCCAACACACAATTGAGATTTTTAAAATAAAGTCAACTAGAATTAAGAAGATGAAGGAAAACAACTTCAATTATCAATGCCAGAACAGAGATCCCATCCTTTTGAATGGGCTTTCCCAGCCAGGCAACACCACACACCTCTGAATACGACCATTTCAGTTGTATTTGGTTTGGATCAGATCAATGCATCTCCTCCTCCGGAACCACATCCCACTCACAGCTTTTGTGAACTTCCATGAGACCCATATTTTAAGAGTAGAAAAAATGCTGCTTCCCTGCTTACCATATTAGTCAGGGCTGAGAAGAAACCACTCTGGTGCTCCTCTTCCTTATCTTTGTATTGCCTGAACAAAAAGGAATAAGGATGAAGCTTCAGGGCTAGAAACTGAACTAGGGTTCTTTTATTTAAGTCCCTATGAAACAGCCTTATCTGAGTAGGATACAGAATGGAGAAAGCGTCAATATTCACAACCCCTTTTCAAGAACTCACATAAAGAGATGCAAAGGATATTAAAATATTTGTAAATTGTGTAAAGTTGAAGCAGGGGTGTTGAAATACGTAACTCTGAACAATGTGTGTGCTGTTATAGAGAATACATCAGGTCAGGACTAGCACTGCAGGAAAGGGACCAAATGACTTAGGAAATTTTGTCCTGCACAGTAACAAACCACATGAACACAACCACAGAACAGTTTCATTTCAGTCATCATCCGCTACAGACTAAACCAGAGTTGATCGCCCTATGGCCAGCAGAAACGACGAGTACCATCAGGCTGGTTCACAGTCTGATCCTGCCTGATCCCGCGTTCCTAGAGTGAGTGAAGAGACTGGAATTGGAGTACGCAAAATCAACAAATAGGTTGGGTACCTCAGATTTAAGCTGCTTCATTTGGCATTCAGGTGGACTATCAAAGTTCACATGGACATTTATCATGTCTTTCATATAAGACTCCGACCACACATAATGCAACATGCAAAGACGACAATTTTAAAGTTTTTGGGAAGGAGGAAAGATCTAAGCAAAACAGGCCATCATCTGAGACAGCTTCTGTCAGAATGAAGGAAGGTGGGCGGGTGTTTTTTTTTCTGTTTTACTCTAATAATTTACTCTGTTAAACATATTTACATGACTTGCTGACTTGTATCATCTTGCAAGTCATTTGCGTATCTGTAATAGCAGACCTTTAAAGGAATTAAAACTTTTTTTTCTGGATACTTTAAGAATCCTACTGCACAAAAAAGTCTTGGCGACATTGCTATAACATTTCAAATTTTTCTGAAGCACTTTCTTCTTAGGAAAATCTACATATTTTTGTGCTGTTCCTTATTAAGCAGAGGCTGGGAACATGCTATCCCTACTGCTGGCTTTCTGGCTCTTTCTTCAGAAGCAGTTAATGCTTTCCACCATTTGCAAGAGCATACATCCACTGATCACCTCTGATCTGGAATGTGGATAGTCCTGGATCCATTTGTTTAGTTGAGAACATGTTTCAGAGTTAAATCAATTTTCTAACAGAGAAGTACTCAGCAAATAATTTATCTTTTCACTTGGGACCATAAGATTTTACACAGGGTTCATACGGAGGTAAAACCCATGATAGTAAAAACATACAACGGATATCTTTCTCTACAGCAAGACCACTTCTGAAGCACATCAGCACAGCTGGTACAGATGCATTTACACTTGCAATGACAGCAACAACTGAGCTGAAGTACCTCAAAGCATAAGACTATTCCTTGCCTCTGCAGGTGCATCAAGGCTGTTAAGTGATAAATAAGTGCTTTAACACAAAAAAAACCTGTTTGTGGAAACGTACAGCAACTATCACGCATTGAGAAACAAGAGACATTTAGGTTTTACCTGTTATATTCTGATAAAGCCTGAGCAATTACAAGTCCCATTCCCTGAAAAAAAAAAAGCATTAAAAAAATCTTTACGTTACAATCTCAGTGGAGGAAATCACACACTGAACACAAATAACAGTGCTGCACCCCTCAAGATAACCTAGCACGCTCTGAAGAATTTCCCCTGCAGCTGTCTGAAGTATTAAGACACACTATGCTACAACAAAAATATCACCCAAAAATCAAGACACTAAAATTTAAAGTTGAATAGCTAATTACTAAGTTCAACAGAGAACATTTACTTTCCTTGGACTTCCAAGCAGAGCTTACTCACTCAAGAAGCCTCAAAAAGCAGCAAGAACTTCAGAAGGAAGCTGGTGTCAGAGGAAAGATATCCAAAAGTTCAAAACAAGGCCATAAAAACTAGTGACCTTTTCACTTATTGCACACAGCCTCCACCATTCCACAGCTACTGATCATTCTTTCTGTCAAGCTTTAGTTAATTCAGAATAATCATCTTCATCCTTTAGTTAGCATGGAGTTGCTTTTACTTCATGCCTAAAGAACAGATGCTAAGTCCAGACCCCACACAGCTCATAGCGTGCTGCCACTTTCTATCCAGGCCTGGATACAAACTGTAGGCAGCTGCTACAACCCAAAACACCTTGCAGGACTCTTGACTCAGGTACAAGCTTCCTTTGAGGTAAAAGAACTGATTTGTGGGCTGGTAAAATCAGATGACACAGCACTGGGAGTGATATCTTTGGCATAAGCTATCTTGTGACTCTTTGGCAAGTAACAGTAAATAGTGTACAGACAGTTCACAACTGTTTAATAAATCAACTTCAGCATTTCCTTGCTACCCCTAGCTTTTTAACCACCCCATCTGTTTAACTGGTGATCAAACCATCCAAATCACAAGCTGCCTAACCTAGTGCAAGAGTGTAGTTAGGGCAGAAACCCACTAATACTCGTGTTCTTTATAGTGGCATTGTTTCTAGACCTTCTTTCTACCAGACACCATAATTGTATTCATTACACTAACACCACACATGAAAGAGCATCCCCAGCACCACAGAGGAATCAAGTCAAATACTCACATTGAGTGTGGCCTCATCATCTACGATGGAGAGCTTCACAATGTAAGGATTCACTGACTGCTCAGGGTAGAAGGAAAGAAAGAAAACAGGTTTTAAGTCCAGCCTTCAGAAAAAAACACTGTTATCTCTCCAGGTTTATCCAATCACCTGGGAAGAATCTCTCTCCTGTCCCACAAAGCAGAACACACACACAAAGAAACAGGAGTCACCGCACACACTGAGGCCACTATGCCTGGGACACCTTCTTTTTACTGGCTCAGCCAGGCAGGCTCCCGATTTTACTGAGGAGGGCGCTTCTGCTCCTCTGCTAGCTCATCTGTCAGTCTTGAAAGCGGAGCAGCTGTCCTGCAAGCCTGTTATCTGCGACACACACACTGTTATGCAGCAGGAACACGCAGTGAAGCTGGGACTGAACATTAGCGTCCCGATATCTCCCTTCTGCAACACGTTGCAAAGATTGCTTAAAGGAAGGAGGACCCAGTAAGACATGACAATGTTGTAGACTCATCTGCTGCTGCCTAAGAGCTCAATACTTCAACAGTTTACACTGCTGAGAGCTGGAAGTCTCTGGAGAATACAAATTCCTTGAACTTAGCTGAGCAAAGCACAGAGGCTCCATCTATAAAGATAATTCCTAATAATTTAGGAAGCATTTTAGATTAGCAACGAACATTTGCTTTTCCTGGATTATATGTATCAGTGCAAAACTAACACAGTTAATTTGGAACCAGGACAGAGAAGAAAAGGCTCTATCTGTGCAGTAAGTCCAAAGTGCATACAAAGAATAAAACACAAAGCATGAATCAGATGCAGCCCTACAAGTTACACAGTTATCCGACTGATTTGCCCATGGCTAGACAGCAAGTTAAAAATAAGGCTGATCAGAGAACACCACTCTCACAATTATTTGGTGCCTTGGGAGGATCAGGGGGTTTTTTTGGTTCAGAAAAGAAACTGATCAGAACAGAACAAAGCTCAGGCAGCCTGTCAGCCTGCCTGCAGCAGCACACAGCCCAGTCTGCTGTCCAGAAACAGACAGAAGACGCACACAAAACCCATCTGTGCAGGAAGCATGCAAAGACATTCTCCTTGAGGCTGGAGCAGAGGCTTCTATTGAGTAACAATATATAGTCCTCTTTGTACAGCCATGCTCCCCTTCAGAAATTAAATTTAATCAGAGTCAGTAAAGCAGAAGCAAGCTTCACAAATTTGTAAATATAGATTCAAATCCATCCTTGCAAATATATCTTAGTTTTGTTAATTTCAGTCATACTCTTGCTCTCCTTACACAACAAAGATAAACTCTCCACACCACAGCTCACGCACAGAAGAGAGGCCAGACTGTGACTCACAATCAGTAAAAGCAACGGGGCTTTTCCAGGCACTGAGCACAGGGCTATCCTGGACTAGAGGCTGCAGGGTTATCCAAATTCCCAGATGTGGGGAATAAGCAAACTGGGAGATACTACACTGACCAAAGCCACCACGCTGCCCCGAGACCTAGTCATACACTCTGTCCCACCACAGACAGGGAGGGGGAGCGGGTCTGTTGTCATCTCCTGCCTAGAACACACTCCCGTTGCCCTTGACTTTCCAAGACACATGCTCCACATCTCCTGCCACTTGGCAGCAAGATGTCAGTGCCTGCCTGACAGGGTCATGAAGCTGGCCTAGCTTGCTACAGATCTCTGCCCTCTATCTTTTCAATTGTCATTTCCATATCTACAGAAGCCTGTTTAATAATTCCTGTCTGAAGTATTCCTTTCCCCTGACACATTCCATGCCTCCTCTAGGCTTTCCTAACTCCTTAAGCACCAGGAAAATGACTAACCAGGGCAATCCACACACCATATTACTCTATGTGGGACACGGCAGTTTCAAATGCTTTTCAGCATGCAAGTCTGTACCAGTGTGATGAGAATATTTCCTGTGCTGCCCACAGGGAGTGCAATTTGCTCCTGTCACTCCTTGGGAGCCAAGAGTTCCAGTTCCTGCCTGTGAGCATTAGTCTGCACATCTACAATGAACGTTAGCAACTTGCAAGTTGCACAGGCACCCCCCAAGTCCACACCATACCCTTGGCCCACTTCCCTTTTCTAACCCTGATATTTCAGAGTTTCCTCTGTTTTCCTGTCACTGGGAATCACAGCAAAAGTTTTAGAAGTCTAAATTATGCCTGCCACACCACAACATGCAGAAACATGCAACAGCCTCAAGAAGTGGTTGATAAGCATTTTGAAAACTTCAAAGCATGTCAATGAAGCGGTGACACAAACTTAGAAATAGCTTCTGCCTCCGCTGCCTCCAGGAAGAATACAAAATATGCTTCTCAGCTCTTCAGAGAACACAGGTCATTTCCTACCACTGCCATCAGATAACAAACTCTATAGCATTCAAGGTCTTCTTGTCACTGATGAGGGACAGACACAAACTCCTGGAACCTGGGAATACTCAAGATGTTCTCCGTGAACTACCCACCATTAGACGCCAACAATCTAATAGAAACGAAAGTGGAAGCTGAAGGGAGATCATTACCACGTAATTTTTGAAAGACAAGCCAATTAAAAGCAGACCAGAAACGCAATCCCCAGGTGAGACATGCCAGATGAAGTCAGGGTTAAATGAGGAAGTATACAGATCTGGCAGAGGGAGTGAGATCTCCATGTTCCCAAATGTACCTCAGCCTCCAGCACAAGCCTATGGGAAACAAATTTTTGGTAGGAAAACAGAAAAAAAATAAGCAAACCATGTGTAATCCCTAGTTAGATGCTTAACTTGTCTTCACATCTGTAACACAAACAAAGGCCAGAGTCCACCCAATTACCCCTTGCAAGACTTTTCCCTGAACACTCATTAGGGATGATTCAGCAGCTTCACTGGCAGCCCTGGCGAGGCCATCTCCTCTGCAGGCAGGCCATCTTGCAGGGAACTGGAGCCTGAATAATTACTCTTTTTTGTAAAAGAGATTAATTTAAAATAATTTGAGTTGTGTGAGAATTAAAAAAAAAAAAAAAATAATTTTCTGACTCTTCAAAGTCGCTAAGTGTCTCTTTAGCACCTGTAATTGACCATATCAAGGAGATGCAAGTGCACGAAACTGGACATGAAGGGCTATGGGATACGCTATATGCTGCCAGACACACACACAAAGGGAAAAAACCCATATTTTGAATAATTTCTTTCAGTTCTACCTAGCAAAAGACACAGGTTGAACATAAGGCAACGATATTTCCACCTAGATGTTATCAAGGAATCTAATTATTTAAAAGTCACTACCTGTGTGACTTACGTTTTTAACTTGCTATTCTAGCAGCCATCCCTTAAAACACTGAAAAAGGGATCAAATAAATACTATTCCTCACAGCATTTTCTGTGTTTGGCAGTCTTTTGTGTACACTTAGCTTCACCATTTTCCTGATACGGTCAATTATTTAGTTACTCTCTTATGTTTCTCTCACACAGTATCAAGGTAAAAATATTTTCTCTGAAATCACGGCTAGGATTAAGAAAACATAAAATACGGCCGAGGATCTGAAAAAGTTTATACTTGGAAGAACTTTTGGAAATTATTAGGTTTCAGATCAGGCACATGCCTTTAAATGTTCCATGTAAAGACATGTAAATCATTTTTACTCCTAGAGCAGAAGTTAATGAGCAAACCAAGACCCCAGCTACACTGGTAATGAAAACACGGACAGATATTCCCCAGGGAATTTGAGAGGAGACTACAAAATTCACATCCCAAAAATATGAAAAATATCCTGATGCAAAACATGCTGGTATTCACATTAAAGACAGACACAAAATTACAGTTAACTAATGGATTTTCAGCCTAATTAGATTTTCTTAAGCAGCTGGAAACAATTTAGCAACCAATGAAGTTCAGAACAAAAGAGAAACTATCAGCTGCAGTACAGTTAACTAAAAAAGAGAACTTCAAAGAATATGAGGCACGAAAGTATGCTACAATACACTGACAACCAGGAAACCACCAAAGTGACTGTAAGGGCCAAAGAGCAGCAAATGAAAGCAGCTACTCAAGACAACAACAGACTGCATTACTATAGGTTTTGCATGCAGCGCTGCTTACAAAGGGCAGTGCCAGGTAGCCATCACATTAAACCTTTCTTCATGTTGCTTTCAACCTTGTCAGATGAACTACTGAATGGGAAATTCTGCTTGCTACACATTTGCCTCAGGTTGGATTGTACTTTTTAAACATCCGCACAATTTCTTTTGGGTGCCCAGTTTGAAGACACCTAGGACAATGTTTTCCAAAATACTCTACACCCACTCAGTACTCTACAGAAAGCTACAGCAAAGAGCAGAGGACAAGTCTTACGTACTCACAGCACTCTACCCTAGTAAGGGCATGAACTATAATACACAAGGATCCATAGCTCGGGGATGGGACTACACAGCACTCCACCCTTTGACATGAATGCTGCAATGAGACCTCCCATCTTTCCAGTCTTCCCTCACCAGTAACCCTACCTATATAACTCCCAACAGTTTTCCCTCATGGTCACATACTGAAACTGAACTCCACCCTCCTGTTCCATGCTACCATGGCACAAACTGCTGAACAGAATCAGTAATTCATGACTCTGACAGCATTCACAGGAATAAGAAATTAACAGGGATTACTGTGACACTGAGTGCAGTTACTGTCTTTGCCTATTTTCTAGGTCTATTCATAATTCAAAACAAGATCTATTATAAAACGAAGTAGGTTATAGAGCCTGCCCCCTCCCAGTAATTTTGTTGAGGAGGGGGTATTCCAGCACTTTCCCATGTTTTGCCCATCTAACATATTTCTAATTATGGAAAAAAATTAAGATTGATCATTAAAGCATCATGCCTCATGCAAAGAAAAGCCAATATTAGGTGGTTTTTTGACATTTGGAATGTTTCTTTTTCAAGGCGGTGAATAACAGAACAAAATGGGAAGATATCACGAAGTAGCACAACCAGTTTAGAAAAACGAAGATGAATAAAGTTTCTCAGACAGGAAGCAGTCAAAGAGACAGACAGACTTCTCTCAGAAATACCAGCTGTGATGTTTCAGTTCATTCTTTGGTCACAGCTTTACCGTCTCTTCTGGGGATCTGTGCTCTTTCAGTCTGCTAGTCAGGTTGTGAATCACAAATTCAGTCTGAAGCCCAAGACTACTGACAGCTCATTTGATTTTGGAGACTATGTATAACCACACAGTCACACACACAGAGCCAAACATGCACGTTTGGCACAACAGTAACTCTTCCAAAAAGGACCTTCCTCAGAATACTTTCATGAAGGAAATGCAAGTCCCCTAGGTAGTTTCTTTCATGCTTGCACAAAACAAGCTGTATGAATATTATACACATTTGACTATACACATATGTCAGAGACAGATACAGTTAGCATAATATGACTGCCTTGAAAAACTTCTGTAGCTCTGTGCTGATACTGATAAATGGTACAGCGTGTACTGCTAACAAATGTAGTGTAAGGCTGCCTCAATCATCCAGAGGCCAGTGTAAACTCATAAAGAGAAATGATGTTTCTGTGATCCAGAAGAATACCTACCTCATACTTTCTGTAGTTGACCAGCAAGGCAAGAAGGACAACAGCGTCATAGCCATGTTCCCTGCGACTAAGTGGGCTGGACAGGATCTGGAATAAATAATCACACTGTTCTGTTCAGGCCTTCTTCAGGAAGCTTGCAGTGACTGGCCACGACATGTATGTGTAAGAGAAAATTATGTCCTAACTGAAAGAGGATATTTAAGGTTGAGGGAGTGTCAGTGCTTCCAAGAAGTTCTGCACACAGAGAAGCTTATTTATCACAGAGATGATGCACACAGGCTTTCTGGGCATAAAGGGCAAATATATTTCTCAACAGCACTGGACAGTATCTCAGTGCATCACCAGCATTATCTGTGCAAGTTTTATGGGTTTCCCAAGTCCATTTCCACTTCTAAAAAAGCATAATTTATCAAAGAGCAGAATAAAACCTCAGTATAGACACTGTCTTTTGAAATAAGTTCCTCAAATACAGCAATTACCTGTGAAATCAGCCAAGAAATCTGTTCAGCTTCTATCTATGCACAAATGTTTCAAGTGAAAACACTTTAAATACTCAGTAGTGACTAAAAACAGCAGACTAGATTAAGGAGGAGACAGCATTAAAAAAAAATCTATGGCTGAGCTATGAATGGAAGCAGCACACAGTGCCAGTCAGCTATGCTGCCCTGAAAAAGCTGAAAAGCAATATATGACTGAAAGCTCTCACTATGGAAAAAGAGCCCCTGTGGTAGAAGGAAGAACCCTTACCTGTAAAATAGCTTCAAATATGCTGTTAATCATCACATACTCCAGGATGGTGTTCTGGCTAATGTTATCTGTCACCTGAGTACAAACACAAGTTTTAAAATCTCACCCAAACCCTCCCATGATGCTGTAGCTGCCTCTGGCACACACTGGGAACAGAAGAGTTCTACTACCAGATGGACACATTTATCCATAATCTCACACTTAGTCAGCAAGTCAAGGTGTGACTAGCAGTAGAGCTAGACATGAAGTAAAAGAAATCTGTCGTGCCTCCCACCCCCCTCTCTGGCACGAAGCATGACACACATACCAAGAGCCCCCCTTTCCTCTACAGATTGATATTTTACACATCTGCATGACGACAGCCACCAGCAGCTGAAGCACAGTGCTACACTGGAGGCAGAGAGTGAAAAAGCAGGGCCCATATGCTCCACTGAGCACTTTTCCATCACAAACAGGGCAGTGAAGACCTCCCTCACACCCCATTATCTATTATCACAGACAATACAGTTTGCAGTTGACCATCTCCAGGAGATGCTGAGTGGACGTTTGTTCCAACTTCCTCATTCTTCACACCCTCACCAATCTTGTCTACTGCACACTTCCTGTCTTTCCTCAGCCCCTCTCCTCGGCTCCCTTGCCATTTATCCAAGACTTCTTTTTTCCTAAAAAAAAAATGTGAATCCAATTGACACTTCCTTCTGTGTCACTCTCCTTTTGCTCCAGTTGGCACCCGTCTCATGAGGTGAAAAGAGTCTGCTGGTCTGTGTCTGCACCGTGGTTCGAGCAACGATGCATATTCTGGCCTGACCCTTGCTCTCATTCACAATTTCCTCCCCTCTCTCAAGCTCCACACTGCAGCACTCTACTCCACTTTTGAGACTGTTCCATCCCTCAAGATGTGGCTCATATAAGCCCTTAAGTTATTATACAGCTGGTATTCATTTACCGTCACCAAGCAGAGAAGGAGCTTCAGACACAAGCTTTTGAGACTTTCAGAACCTTCTGCACAGAGGAGTGAGTCCAAGCTCTCCATCAGATTCTAATGAAGAACAAACATATTATTTTAAAGTACTATTTAAAAGCATTTTAAATGTTTATGATAAAAACCTGTGAGAGATTCAGATACAAGAGCACCAATATAAAACCATGTTATTGCAGAATCAATAGCAGCTACTACTACTGTTACACAGGCCATATTCACACTATTGGTTCTCAATATTGTTTTGTGTTAACTACATTTTAATGACTACAGGTATAACCTCATGAACATTTTCCAAGAGTTTTCTCTAGATGCACGAGAGATTTTTGTATACACAAAACAATAGATTTTGTTCACAAAGTAATTCTGAGCTCTACAAATATAATCTTCCTTTTTGTTTGCAAGACAGTAATATCAGTGCTTTCTTCTTTCAATACTCCATTTTACTTAAAGGCACCATGAGATTTTCTGTAAGCAGCACAGCTCCAATTTCATAGTATATATATTAGTTATGATTAAAAATAGATACTGTATAGCTATTTGACAGACATTCATAAATAATTGTTTTCCAAATACTAAGTTACAGGCAATATAGCTATTCTTCAAAGAAAAATGTACTTCTGATAGGCAAGTTACTACTTAATATTTTCCCCAAATGTACTACTAGTTGTAGAGAGACGAAAAATTACTTTTTGCAGAGAGATAAAAGATACAACAGGAATTCAGCTTTGTCACAAATTAGTCACTTCCCAAAACTCAGCATCTCTACAGTGAAGAGCATCAAATAAGTTTAAAATGGTACATGTGCTGACAGAAATGTGAGAACACAGAATATGACTACCAGATAAAAATTAAGCACAAGGTATGAGGTTCAATGCTGTGTACTAATGGCCTGTGACAGCCATTTATGGCCTTAAGATTTCTTAACCATAGCGACTGCAAAGCATGGAATTAAAGGCAGCAAAAGAAAAGTGCTCTGTTATATTACTAAGAAACACACAGAGCCTAAGTGTCTTTGTGCCACAAAGACCTTCGGGACAGCTGTTTGTAATCAGTGGCTGGAATATTGCCCCTCAAAGCTGCACACTGGTAAGACACACGTCTACAAATCAATGCCTCTGTAGCACAGCTGCTGTGCAAACTGTTTCTCTATACTGCCAGGGCCTCACCTTCATACATAGCTCTGCCTTATCAAAACCCACAAGCATGTTGATGATGTCAAACCCAGAAGTGGATTTGTTCTTCTGATGTACACCCCGAATCAATGCACACAAAGTCTGCAAAGGGAAAAATCAGAGGGTAAAATGTAAGGCAACACCTACAACTCAATAGCACAACCCACCCTAAAAACCTCTCCTAGCACTGGCAAAGCACATCCTTTTTTTCATTACTGTCAGAGGCAGGATACTGGGCTAAACAAACCTTTGGTCACTATGGACACTCTCAAGAAAAGATTGATTAAGTAAATTTTGGCTTCAGGACCACTTTCCACATGAGTAGTCTGGTTAAGGGAATGTTGTCCCAACCCAAGCTCAGGATGTGTTACCTGATTTCCATTTACACTCAGACAGCAGGATTCTAGATTTGAGCCCCGGCCTAACTTTTGCCACGAGCCTGAATACCAGTTTGTGAATTCAGGGCTGGGATAGACTATATAGCTATAATTACATAACTTAATAGGATCCTTTCAATCTAATTTAAAAAAAAAAAGAAAACAGTGCAAGATTGTGCATCAGCAGGTGTGTAAATCGTCTCAGTTTTACACTGACTTTTCCCAGCTTGCTGCCTGTCCAGTGACTTCTCCAAACTTGAAATTCATATCCTGTATTCCTACAGCTGAGAGATGCTGAGACAAATACATTCACCAAACTGTAAGAACCAGCCATGAACTAATAACATCAAGTATCAAGACTGAGAAGGGCAGTCTCCTGCATAACACACAGGACAGTATAGCTTTGGTAAGGAACAAGCTGCAGGAAAATGTTTATTAATTCTGGGTGACAATTCACAGCTTCCACTTAGAAAGCGTCCAGCAGGGACAACCCCTTGTATAAATTTCACACTAACTTCTCCAGAGGTTTATTTCATTTTTGACCCATACAGAAATTCAAAAAGGAGGCTGAAACTAGGGACAACAGGAGAAAGTGGAAGACAACGCTACATAGAGTTCTCTTGAGTCTCCAAACTGACAGCCTTCAGTGTGAACAAGCCCCTCTTGTCCCTCCATTGCCATCCGCTTCATCCTGCATCACTGGATCTTCTTGAATTCTGAAACAAGCTACTGTTTCTCAAAGACTAAAGAGGCTACAAATGTTTGTAACCTCCATGGACAATAAGTAGCAACTGCTGTGCAGACACCACTTCTCAGAACTAAAGAAATGACCACAAGATGTTTGATACCAACAGCAAACATATTGCTTCCTCAGAAGCAAAGAGATTATTCCCTATCTCTGAGTGTGGTACCTGTAGTGCATTGACCACTCTGATCGGGTGCTCCTCACCCAGTGCCTGGATGCAGTGCTGAAACAAGCAATTGATGTTATCTTTTATCTTCATTAACTCTTCCCCATCCAGAGCCTCCAGCTTGCCTTCTAGATATTCCAAGTTGACCTGTCAGGTTAAGAAACAGTTCATGCATGTTATACAACCACCGACCCCTTAGAAACGCAACTCCTTGCACTGACAGTCTGCCACTTCGTAGACAGGACAGCAGCAGCAAATCAGAGAATGTTCAGTTCCTGTTACCTTCATGAGAAACAGCTCCTCCCAAAACCTAGGGCTGCGTTTACTGGGGTCCTCTGTCTGAAAAGAAAAGGAACAGCCATGAAAGCAATCAAGAAAAAAATCATTCAGGCAGAATTTAAAGAAAATCATTATCACAAGTAGCTTAAGAGTCAGCATCATCTCACTGGATGACCAAATTGTCCCACAGTATAGAATTCTCTCTATACAGATTCCAAGAAACTGAAGGACAAACAGAAGCAGCTCTCAACTGGGATGCCTCTGTTTATTTTCTCGATTATTTTTTGAGAAATACTTGAAAAGCTGTGACTTCCTGTAGATCACAAACAGTCCTGGTAGACAACAGGACAAGGTGACATTAAGGAAGAGAGCAGAATACAGAGCTCTGCGTGACCGTACGAGAGCCTGAAGTGTGTGCCTACACTGCAGTCCTTACCCTGGGAAAGTAATCCATCATGCAGAGCCCTCAGCACAAGCTAAACCAAGAAAATTTAACACAATGCTTTAGAAAGAAGAGATGTTCGAGTGCTTACCATGAAAATCTCATCATACATCAACACAACCTTCTCCTTCAATGGCTTCTTGGAGGCTGATGATTTCCGGAGCAGCCCACCTTTCTTCTCTGTTTGGGCCATGCTGTATACCCTGAAGGAAAGACAAAAAAGGCTAAGGAAACTTGAACTTTTCTTCAAGGAATATCTGGCCTACCTCAACCATGAAAGACCTTTTCACTACACTGAAATACTAATAATCTCTCACAGGCTGAAAGTAGGGGCTTTAATAACTACACCAGATAAGAAACCAGATGAAAGGTCCCATCTAGTCCTATATCCCATTTCAGAGAAAGATGCAAAACTCCAGACACAGGCAGATACAGAATAAGCTGCTTATGGATAAATTTTCTTAATTCTTCTCTGCCAGAAACTGATTAATGATCCAGACCAATGCAGTTTACATCTAGAAAAGTACGTATTTTTTTAATTTCATTGCGTGAATTGTGATGCTTGTTATCAAGTGGATATACAGTTCTTTTTGATGCTGCTCAAGCCTCAAGAACCTCTTGCAACAAAAAGCTCCTGAAACTATTTGGAAAAGTCTTCTATCTGTTTAATTTGCTGCCTACCAAAGCACTTCAAATTTTGCTTTTGCACTCTGAGGTGACATCCAACACTAGGAAACATTTGGCTGCAGAGCCTCCCTAAAGCACTGCTGCCAACCTTGCTCATCCCTACCTCTGCACCTTGGCATCCCTCAGCTGTGCCAGCTGCTCTGCAAATCAAGCCAGAGAAGAACCTCAGCTTTAAAAGCACCACATGTGGTTCAGTTTTCGGAGGAGAATGGAGGAACACAAGGGAAAAGCTATGCAGAGATTTTTTTTTTTTTTAAACCAGATCAATTTCCTGATCCATTTGATAGCAAAGGGTCTTCTAGAAACACAAACAGGTTTTACTACAATAAACTGCTGTCTCAAGCTTACTGGTTATCCTACTAAAAAAAAGGAAGCCTTATTACAAAATGAGCTATTACAAAAAATAACAGCCATAGCTATGGTCCTGAACGTTCTGTGCCAGTCAACCCATTCCAGGGGCTGAGTTTCACAACACATGCCTTGCCATGTACTCTCAACCTCATGTCTGACGCTACAAAGCACACCACCACTCTGACCTTGCAAATAAATATTTATTTGCAACCATGGATTTTTCTGGCAAGCATCACAGCTTTAGCGGTGTTCTAACCTCCTCTATCATTGCAGCACTGTCAGAGGTACTTATCAGAAAGGGAATGCCATCCCTTCTCATATCCCTGAGCTCCCAGCTCCTCCAAAGGTAATTACGCACACAGGCAGCAGCACACCTCAGGCAGAGGCTTGACTTCAGTCATGCTCCAGAAAAAACATGTGCAGGCTCTTGTGGCAGCTGCACTCAACCATGCTAAATTATGCAAAGAGAGGTAACTTCACTGCAGTCAGCCTCTAAGACCCCAGAGCTTTCTGAGCTGGCAGCTACAGACACAGCTTTGGATTCAGCCCCCATCCCAGGCTGCCTACGCCCCTTCCACAACCACAGCACGTTTAGATCTGTCTTTCCCTCAAAGAGCAGGTTCCAGCAACTACTAAATGCCAGTTCCAGATATCTTCTGCATTCTTTCCACTGCAGACAGCTTTTGATTGTCTTAGATTACAACCCTGTTCTCAACTAGGACTCTCATGCTCCCAGAGGAGGTTATTCAGACACCGATCCCTTGAGCCACAAATCTCGGTTCCAAACAGCAGGAAAACATCCTTGGAGCTGGAGAAACACTGCTGCTGCAAAAGACCCCAGCCCAGGTGTGAAAGGCAGATTTGCCTGGGTGGGGAAGCAGAGGGTAGGACAGAGAGCAGCAGATGTCACACCTGAAAAGCTGAAATGTATAAAGGGGGAAAGGTGTTCTCTCTTCTGGCTAGGAAGGGAATATGCACAGCTGGCTGGTTAATGGCTGGTGTGTGTGCTGGGGTGAGAATGGAAACAGGCCCAAGCTTAGCACTACTGCACCTTGACCTTCTGTAAACGGAGAAATTATTCCTGTAGCCTACTAGGTCTACATATCCAATTAAGATGGAAAAAGGTTTCAGTCTAACGAACAAAAAATAAAACATTCAATCATCTTGATACCTTCTCTTTTACAGACTTTGCATTATTTTTAAACTGTCATGGGAAATAAGACATTATTCTAATTAGAAACATAATTGGAAGCAGAGAGAAATCTATTAAAAACCAAATCAAGAACGATGTCACTTTTAGCCTTGCAATACAAATCTTACTCAAGATTGCACAAAACAATTTCCCAACTAGAATTGTAAGTTCCGAACCTAAGGCAGCTGCCAGCCTCAGCATACAAACATATCCATCAGCGTGCTTCTAATTGAATTACAGCTAACTAATCCCAATGTCAAAACTAATAAACTAACTCTCAGTGCTTCTAGGTCAGCGTTCTCACATGAAATGCGTAAATGAATGGGAAGAGATCAATACGCTCTGCTTAGTCCCTGAACTCTGAGAGCTGCATTTTAACACTTTTCCTACATTTCCAGAAAAACAGAAAAATCTAAAATCCCACAAGACACAAAAGCCTGACGCTGCGTGAGCATCAGAGGGATAGCACGATCATGTGAAAACGCTAGTCTCTGTCGAAATGGGACTCAGGATTCACATTCTCTCAACCAAAGCTGCACGGAGCACATACAAAGACGACTGCTAGAGGCAAGGATTAAATAATGTTCTTGTTTATAATTCACTATTCTACAAACGAGCATATGGAGGAGCAAGGGGAGAAAAGTAAAAATCGCCTTTCATGCCAACACTTTATTAGGCTGTGCTTGTTTCATGACCTGTGATGATCAAGCTGTACAAATGGCTTTTTCTTTTCACTTTATGCAATTACATTTTCTAGATGTCATAAAGACAGAAACAGGAAACTGCATTTTGCTAATGGGGACCTTCCAGGCAGCTGCAGAAAACAACACTTAACTGTACAAAACATATTTATAAATAAGTTGTAGACGTGTCAAATTATCAGGATGTCTTGACAGCTTATGAAAAAAACAGCACTGAATATAGTTAACAATTATCCTTTAAACACATCACATTTAAAAAGCATCCACGCATTTCCCACATTTTAGGTTCAAATGGGTAATTTGTTCTGTCAATAGGTCAGTCCCATTACCACATGCTGCCGAGTGAATCCCGCTGTACTGGCTGGCTGCACAGGAGAACTACCCCTCAGGGCCGAGAGAAGCACACGCATGTGGATTTTTAGAACAGCAAGTACTTTGCTGTGCAGTTGAAGATCCAAGATGCTTCATCTGGAACTAAAAGAAGCTTCGACAGAGCACAAGTCTTGGCAGCTCTGCAGTTGTGGCAGACAAAAGCCACGGCAGACAGAGGTTCAGGCAGACTCTTGCTTTACCTACCATCAACCCCAGGATCAGCTCATCCAGTCAGGAAGAAAGGTATGAGCACATCCAGGCATCCACCTCCTTTCCATTTCATTCCACAACTCATAGCAGAGATTCCAACCAAACACGTGACATTCAGATGAACGCACCTCCGTCGGCTTCTCGTTAGAATACCCGCAGGAAAAATGAACCTGACATTTTCAGTCTGAGGTTTACTCAGGCTTGTGCACATTGAAAACTGCGGCTGCTCCACATCACCATTCAGCTCCCATGCAGACATTATTATTCTATAGATCATCTTATAATAGTAAAAACACTACTGTAGAGAACATTGCACTAATGCACCTCCACACTATAACGACGTCAGGACCCAAAACTTGTAACTTCTGTAACCTTGCATGCAGCCCATCAAGCACTGTATTTTGCAGCCTAGGCTAAAAAGCCTGAAAGTTTTCAGGGTTACAAATGCATATACACAACCTCCACATACAACCAAACATGAATAAACGTGGGCCCCTCAAAAAGTATACTGTAACACTCCTTGGCTAAATAAAAAGAAAGCAATAAAATCACATAAAATGGTGTTTTCACATATTGACTTCCTTGGCAAACCATTTATTCCCTATCTGAAAAAGGTAGTGCAAGTGATGGGATCTGTATTAGTTCGTTAATTGCAAAGCCCAGGACCTCAATCAATATTTATAAAGACTCTTGTCCTGTGTTAAGCAGAGACAGAGTTAACTTTCTTCATAATAGCTAACAAGAGGCTGTGTTTTGGATTTGTGCTCAGAAGAAGCTGATAAGAACCGATGTTTTGTGCTGCTGCCCAAGGTCAGCAGATGAGCGAAGAAGCACAGCCGGTTGCTAGCCTAGGATTTGCTCTTAGGTTAAGACTGAAATTTAGAATAGCCAACAATTTATTCCATAACATACACGTCATGCC